CGGACCTCCTGAGCAGCGACGGCTCTCCACCAATGTCCCCGATCGATCTGGAGACCCAGGAGCGGATCAAAGCCGAGAGGAAGAGGCTGAGGAACCGACTGGCTGCTACCAAATGCCGGCGACGCAAGCTCGAGCGCATTGCCCGGTTGGAGGAAAAAGTAAAAGTGCTGAAAAGTGACAACGCGGGGCTGTCCAACACGGCGTCAGTGCTGCGGGACCAGGTGGCTCAGCTCAAACAGAAGGTCCTGACGCACGTAAGCAGCGGCTGTCAGCTCATGCTCACCAGCAAAATGGAGGCATTTTAAACACGGACTATTTCAAATAATAATAAGTATAAGACTGAGAAGTAATAACACTGGAGTCATGTTGTACCGGCTCGTGTTGTGGACTGTATTTGGGGAAATGGGACTTCCGGATGCTGGACACCGCTTGAGGGACCATTAAACCTGAAAATACTATGGCAGCATCCAGACCTGGCACAATTTCGTCTGGTTCAATAATGGTATAACATGAGAAATCTTTGTACTTTTACAAATGTTATTGTCTTGCAATGCTGCATTTATTCATTGTGTAAATTATTTTGTTTGTCTGGTTGATCCAGACAAACTAATGACGTCTAATGTTTACAATGTCTTTTTTATTTGTGATGTGTATTTAAGTAAAGTGTCTTTAAATGAATTATATCCTCTCGAGTTGTCTTATTACACAAGTTATTACTAGTAATAAGTTTTTAAGGCTGGTCTCCACAACAACACCTTACACAAGCATATTCTTTTTCCGTGTTTTTACGCACCAAACGTAGCCTACGTCCTAATTACGCACGAGGCTCTCCATATATGGGCATGTTGTGAACACTCCGTCACAGAGAGGAGGATTGTTGGGAACCCCCTCCCAGGTGAAACAGCGTGGTTTCTATCGAATACCTCGTCCAGAGTGGGTTACAGTGGAACTTTCTCTAATTATTGCGCATTAACGGCAAACTAACAAAAACAGTGATCATGGAGATGTTTAGCGGGGACAGGAAGTGCCATAAAGTAATGTAAATAAGCAAGTAAAGTATTTATATATGACTAAAAAGGTCAGACCACTACCAAAATTGCTGGCTTTCAGATGGGAGACGAGCAAATTTTCCCAATTAATTGTATTGTATTTTCATGAAAATTGATCATTAAATCATACAGTCATATAAAATGTTGGAATGCTGAAATCCAGCAAAAATAAATAAATAAATAAATAAAATATAGCAATAAGAATAATTCTGAAGATCACAGAAAGGTTTTAAAAATAAGAGGTAATTGTAAATTGCTACTACAAACTACAATGCCAAACCTGAGTGGACCTGATTAGATAAATCTCATAGTTCTGACCACACTATAGAATAGCTAGAACCACAGACTATTGCTGTATGAGCAATATTTCGTTTAGATCTAGAGTTATCAATGGTTATGAAGAAAAAAACAGAGTTATAGTGAAATCAAATCAAAAATCAAAATCAAATCTTGGTCAAAGATGCACACATTTTGAGAATTCAGATTCAGAGCACAGAATATTTATTGCAATTGTCAGTCATTAAAAAATATTATAATATGGCTCAAACTAGAGGTCCTCCACATATGTCCTAAACATATTGGTAGAATTTGCCGGGGGAAGTGACAGTGTTCCGTGGAATGAGGGGGGTGTTGTTGCGTGGGCGTCCAGAGGGTACAGGGGATAGAGGGATGCCAAGCGCAACATTCTGATGGGGACACATCACTGGACAAGTATGCGGGTCCAAAAGAGCAGAGAAAGGGGAAAGTCCCACGTTAGAAAGACCTGAGTGAGTCAGTGAGGTCTGGGTCATAATACAAGCCAGGGATCTGCAAACAATTGAGTGGAGTGCTATCCTAGTTTTAAAAAGGCTGTTATTTTCGATGATTAATAGAGCTCACAAAAGATTTATATACCAAGAGATAAACCTATGAGACACCAAGAGAGTAACAAAAAAGGCTAAACCAAAGTTATTACTAAAAAGGCTTAGAAAAATAACTATAGACAGTTTCCCAAAGAATGTTTTGATTGGAGTGTGCCATGTGAATGCTGTCCACTGTCTTCTTAAACATTACAACAGTCAGTGTTTCAAAACTGAGCCTAAACATCTTTTTAGCCTTGGCCAATTTCAGTATTAATTGTTCAAAATTATGATGCAAATACTGCAGCTCGAGCAATACAGTCCTCACTTAAGCCTGGTTTGGTTTGCCTACAATTCACAACATTTTGTTCACACATTATTACACACAAAAGCCTCACATTAAAAAACAAATTGACATCTGACATCATGACCTCAACTGCTTGTTCTGACCCTATTCTCATACATTCACAACATGGCACACAAACAAAACTGATACTTATCTCTGTGGACATCCCCTTTAATGCAGCTGAAAGTGACTTGTGTGGGAGAGTCTGGTTGTTTTTCCACATCTCTGGCGCAGAAACAGGAGAGGCAGACGTGTTATTGACGGAAACATGGCACATGAAAGCACAGTATACTAGGCCTTCCTCCAAAACAGGTTGAGGTGAGAGTGCTCAGACCACAGGGCGCACTGTAGCCCTTGATGTGGCTTTGGTGTGTAGAGTGTGTCACAAACACAATACATTGTTCACGTCATGAGGACAAAACCTCCCATATTTTTCCTAATATATTCTTTCTGGCTGGTTGGAAGGTTCTGTATTGTTTTAAAACTACTTCCTACAAGAATGGTCATGCTGTGAGAACATATATTTTAAAATGGAAGTGGACATGTTATTGCTTTGCCTGGAATGTTGCCCAGTATGATATTTAACTCATCTGCATTGTATTTATTCACTTACAGGTGTTTGGATTGCTAAAAAAAACAAACAAAAAAACCTAACCTCTAACTTGGCCTGGTGGCATCACTTGCTCGCTTGTCTTCATGGAGATAGAAATCTTAATGCCACACTGTGAAACATTCTACCTCAAGCAAAAGCATCTCCATATACAAACAGGTTTTGTTCTTCTACCAGAAAAGTTACATAGTAACCTTTAAGTCTCCGGGGAGAACTGGCATTCTGTATAATTTGCTACTGTAAATAGCTCTGAGCACCTCTCATCTCTTGTTTTACGCACGCAGCAGCAGGCCTACATATTCAAATGGCGCACATCAAAACGCGCACGCTCTCTATTTCCCTTCAGCTCGGCCTCGCAGCCCACAGCACAGAGCGTCCGTGGGAACAACAGTGCTGACGTACGCACGAGGACTGCTGCCGGGTGGGCTCGAGTTTCCTCCGAGCCCCCTCCTCTCCCACACACGCGCGCACGGCTCTTTTTGACAAGCATGAATATTCCTCCCACCTCGGCACGGCCATCTGAGGCTCTTGCACAGTGTGGATTACCGAGGCCGCTATTAGAATACAAAGTGATCTGGAATTGGGCCGGCTCATTATAAAAGTGGGATGGAGAAAGTTTGTAGAAATAGGTTATGCGTACTGGAAAGTTTGGACAAGGAGTTATTGAGTTAATTATGTGCGGTATTCTGTGTACTGAAAACTCTTTCTTTCTACTGAAAACTTTCTTTCTTTCTTTCTAATATAATATCATATGTATATTTATCTTTTTATTTACACATACATACGCACAAAGAGATATGTCTTCCCTAGTAAAAAAAATAACAGTAACTTAAATGTGACCAATTTATGCCTCACCACTATTGAAAATAACCAAAAAACACCTGATTTTACACCTATAGCAGGTGTCATGAAAGAGTCCAAAATAAAGGCAAGAGTGTTAGAAGGGTCACAGTGACACCTAGTGGTAAATTGAGCTATTTATCTGTAAATCTACAATGGCCCATTTACCTAAACCATGTAGGTGACTGGGTGTTTAAGCACATACCAGAAATATACGCGACCATATGCAATGAATATATTATTATACAAAAACATAAAATTACGTTATGATTCAGTAGCAGTGTCAAGATAATTGGGATATCTTAAATTAGCCTAGGGTACCTGGGCCTAATTACGCGTATGATGAATGCGGCAATCATAATTACCCACGTGTTTTGCATTTTGGCCTCTGTAAAACCGGCCCGCGTCTCTTTGTTACAACTATAAGCATTTTTCATAGTTTCCATGGTTGTGCTGGGTTATAATGTGTTTTGAGTTTTAGAGCAACTTTACACGGGAAAATATGAGTCACTACATCCTGCAATTTCTGAAAACTTCCATTGCCTGATAAAAAAGGATTATCTTGTTAAAAGTACACTGGGTCTGTAAATTGTTGTGGTGTATCATCATATGCGCCTTACCGCGCAAAATAACAGGAACTAGTAGTATTGCTTCCACCACAAGGGGGCGCCAAAAGCACTGTAGATCAATTCCCATCCAAATACAGATATTCTGTGTTATTACAGCCATCAGTTTATACAGTACATGTTCGTGTTTATCACTTATGTCTCTCTCTCTCTCTCGCTCTCTCTCTCATTCATATAGATCCATGAGCCATCATTGATAGTTAGATGTAAAATGGATGTGTAAAATTGATGTGTTTTGAATCAGTTTGTAGTGTAGAGTATTAATGAAGGTTATTGGATTTTTATTGAATTGAAGCTGAAGATGAATTTTATTCAATTTCTGATATGGCTTTCTTTTCAGTGCATAAATGCACTGAAAAGAAAGCCAAGGGGAAGCAGGAATATATGTAAATGGTATGTTGGCTGGGCACATTTGCTCAAGGCGGACACAGAGTGCAGAGTAAGTCACTCTGCGGGCAGTCTGCTATTTCAGAAGACAACACTGCTATTTCAAATCAGGAAGCTCTTTAACATTACCACTTGGAACTTTCCATCAGTAATTCACACTATGCCCTCCATGCAAATGCGGTTATGAGCACAGCATTGCTGTAACTTGGTATGTCTTTTCTGTAAACTAAAATTGAAAGAACTGTGGAGCTCTGTGGTGACATTTAAAATGGTCTTTATTGACATTAAAGACAAGCACAGGGTCATCCTTTAGAACAAGAGGCACATTCCATCTTTTATCAATTACTGTTTGTATAAACTGGGTCTAACAAATATTTGTTCTACAGTATCATTATAGAGAAACACAGAAAAGTCTCATCTGGTGTCAATGCTTCCTCTGGCAGGTCACACAGTCTGCAAGGGACCTTCTGTTTCTGCATATAATTCTACCCCCAGGTTTTATTAAACTGTCAGAGCACATCTCCTCTGCCTCAGCCTCCACTACTTGTTAGAAAGACTAAAATACATTCATTACTTTGTCTCCACTATTGTACTGCTCATGTACGACAAGAAAACTGTACATCATCACAGCATCACAGAAGTCCTAAATGACTGATTATAGACACATGGTAAGGGAAATACACATAATATTTGTAATAAGTGTTTGATTGTTCTTTCAAAGACAATATGAATGGTCGTTCATATGTTGACGGGGCTAAGAATAGTCCATCATTTACATGTTCTAGTATGTACAACTGCTCTGTATTAGTGGTTTACAGATCTCACACTCTAAGATGGGGGACAAAGAGAGTTTTTCCTACTGATTACATTGTACTTTCCTATGACATATGTAAGAGGTAAATTAACACGTAGAACCTGATCACATGTATTTGTTACTAGACCCTATAACGTGCTATATTACAACACAAATCTGCATTTTAACAACACTCATTGTAGCTGCCCCCATCTGATTAAATTATACGGTTTATGATGTCATCTGAACCCCAGCAATAGTTAAATATACATTTGCATATAGTACATCTCTGTGCAATATCCCTATTATACTCATTAAAATCTACACACCAGCCTTTGCCACCATTAAAAAATTCCAAAACCAATATGGCAGCTCTTTGATCCAGAAAACAATTATTATCTGAATTTCTACATGTAATATGTTGACCCATTATCTAAAATGCTGACAGCTATGGTGCTTAGTTAATGGAGAAAGGTTAACTCCAGTAAAATGAATAATAACTGTCTCTATTACATCACCATCAATGGTTGAGTCTACAAACCACTGCCACTACCCTCCCCGTCATCCACCCCAACTGATCGTTTCCGTAGCACCAAGTTTGCCCTCCTCTGGGTTTGGGGGAGTGGAGGTGCGGAATGGCAGGGGGCGCGGTACTGGGGCAGGCCCGTCTTGGTGGTGTCCAGTTCCTCCGGGTCGTCCTGCTGGGCTCTGAGGGCGGCCATCTTGTCTCTGTCGGAGGCGCTGAGGGTCAGACATCCACATGGAGCTCCAGTGTTGTCCGTCAGCTCCTCGGGTTCGTCCTCCACCGTCATGAAGGCATCACCCCATAAGTTCTCACACAGGTCCCGCCCGTGCTGGTACATCTGTGGAGAGGACACATGGGAGTATAGACAACAAAGATATATTTCTGGTAGAGAACTTCTTTGGTGATCATTTGGTAATAAATAATTAATTTAAATAAATAATTTAATTGAGGGGAGGATGGAGTGTGCGATTGACAAGCGGATCTTGACTGGAACGCCATGGGGTCCCCCAGAGGAGCTGGAGGAAGTGTCCGGGGTGAAGGAAGTTTGCTGCTTAGGCTGCTGCCCCCACGACCCGGCCCAGATAAGCAGAAGAAAATGGATGGATGGATAATTAATAAATAGTTAATAAATAATTTGGCAACACTAATAACTACTAATTAAAACTTAATTCATAATGTACAAATAGTTAGGCTTAGTAACTTAACTTAATTAAGGGCTAAGGGTTAGGAGCTTGGCTAAAGTTAGGCTATTAATTAAAGTAATTACTATGCCTAAATAATTTTTAATAAAATATTTGTTAGTTATACGTTTTTATTCATGCCCTATTAAGGCTGATTAAAGGTAATCATTATGAAGTGTAAGCAATACTTTTTGGACGCACATCACAATTTGCATTATTTCTGTAGTCCACAGCAAACTTTCTAACTAGTACCACCCTTTGGATTCTTGAGCACTGAATTATAATTCAATCAAATACATTTCCAAGTGGTGTTCTAGAGGGTCATCAAATGTATCTGCTTCAGATGACTGCCCAAGTAAAAGATTATTAACAATGACAACAATGTTCCCAAATCCAACAGTTTGTGAGGAGTCTACATTCTGACACCCATGAGAGCCAGACCTACAGCCAGAGGTGGCAAAGATGGATCTGAAACACAAATCTATTCATGGGGAGTGATTAGATAAAGAGTCTTCCGCTGGAGACACATAACAAATATATTCTTATTTTGGGGAATCTACAAAGCACCCCAGCAGGTATACCAGCACCATCATTTTGATGAACAGATTTTTACTGAAATTGTTTCGGTCTCCAGCACTTTTTGTATTGCACAATGTTTATAATCAAATATTTACTCTACAAAAATAATTCTGCTCAACAATTTTACTAAAATAACAGAATGCAACTGAAAACAGCTTTGATTAAAAATATGGATAAACAAGACCAGATGAAAGCTTCTGCAATGCACTGTCAGCCATAACACAAGATTATCACAGCTCTCATCTATTTTCCTGTCAGCCAACAGAGTAACTGTCTGAGAGAGTGTTCCAAAAACTATTAATACATTTAAAAACATCCATGTGTTATGACAGGTGTCACCATGTCTGTTTATAAATCATTCATGTCAATATTGTTTGTCTTCATTGGGTGACAGATTTCTAACACTGTCACAACAATTTACAAATCAAAGCAGTTCTTTACTGTAGTACAGGAATTGTATTTTCAATGTTATGGTAAAGTAAAGTTTCACTTATACTCAACATGTACCCAAACCATGACAGGGATGCATTAGTTAAGCACAGCCTTTCTATTCTGGTTCATACAGTATATCCTAACATGTGTCTGTTACTGTCAGCCAATAACAGCTTATGACCATTGATGCACTCTTTACACCTTGTCTGTCTGTCCATTTTCTGTACTCTTTCTTTGTTGATAGTAGTCATCTGCTGGGCTATAGTTTATCTATTCACTAATCTTTTCATAAAATCATTCATTTGAGTGAGTTGGAGAGTCTAGTTAAAAGGCTAGCAATTCATATAATTGGGATACAAAATATATAAGTTTTTCTAGTGTGTCTCTGACAATAACTTTTATTTTGTGCAGTGGTACAAACAAACCTGTGTAGTGTGTACTGGGAGGTGTGAAGTAGGGAAGGGTGGGGGGCTGTGGACAGCTGGCAACAGGGCCCACACTCGCCCTCCTCACCTCCATCATCTGCTCCAGTCTGCAGAGCAAATTACACAGCCCCCAGCCCAACTCTGTCTCCAATGTCCAGCTATTCTATGAGCCACAAAGCATAGCAGCACCAATGAAGACTTATCAAAAAAGGTCATCTGGCTTTTTGAGACAAGACGACATTTATTACAGTGCTCTGTCTGTGTGAACCTTTCTTTGAGGGAATATTTCCAATTATTTCTGATATTCATTTGGAGCTTTCTGGAGCATGAAAACCATTTGCATGCTGGTAGGATCTATACACAGATGAGAGGGAAAACGCATAGGACATTTTCCCTGTAGATTCACACTGACTGTACAAAGCTAGTTAGTGGAGTTTCAGTGACACACATGGTAGCTTTAATGTAAACTGTCCCTGTCTTACAGTCTGAGGTTTAAAAGATGATTAAAAGAGCAGAGTCATCATCATTGTCTCCTTCTGCAGCTCTGTCACCAGCATTTGTATCTTTGGTGTAACTGGCAGTGGCACATACAAGCTTTTGAAAACACTCCTGGGTATGTTAGTTCTGCCATTGCAACAGCCTTTCGGAGATCAAACTGCCAACCCTGCTGCTACTCCACCAACTGAGATATTATTGCATCAGGTGCCCTTCCTGGGACAAGCCTCTCTCTCTAATTGGCACCAAAAAATAAAAAAACACAGCAGCAACAACAAAAATAGAATACAGTCAATTAACAATCACCTTTTTAATAAAAAGGTCAGATTTTCACAGACCTGACCAGACCCCCGTATTCCTCCATTAGAGGAGGGTACTGCTGCATCTAAACAGATCTTGGCTGCAGTCTCAGTGGGAGTAGTGCCAGTGGACTTTGCATGCACTGGATGTCTCTGTGTGGATGTATGAGCTTGTTTCTATGCAAATGAACATATACACAAAGTAGGAATTTACAATTCCCTTCTCTGGATATTAAAATATAGCACATTCTTATTTTTCTATTTGTCAGGGATTTCAAAAGGCGCTGATGTACATTCTGTTGATAAACAATGGAATTACAGGGATCTAAGGGAATGTGAGAGCCGCTGTTGTTAAAAATATGTGCTCTGAGACAAAAGGCCATTTGCATTCATTTTTAATTTGGACTTATATAGGACTTTGGAGTTGACAAGAAAAGATTATTTTACTGTCAGGTTTAGTAGTTAGAAGTAGTAGTTGTTGTAGTAAGACAAGGGTAATGAGATGGATGGATCAAAGTTCACCCAAACCCGGAATTAAACTATGATCGACTGATTTAAATCAATGAAATGAACATTGGTAGTGATGCTGGTGTGGCCCTGGACTGTTTTAACTAAAGTGGAGCCGGTTGATTTCATATGGTCAACACCATGACTCATTCCCCTTTTAGAAAATTGTATTCACAGAGTTACTGGAATGTCTGGCTATTAGCTGTGTCCTAGATGAAAGTAGGCCAATGGGAACAAAAACTGGGCAAACACAAAGACACATTAGAAGCTCTGCACTGGCAAAATATCTGCTCGTACATCTATAATTAGCAAAACATGGAAGAAATTAGAAATGACTATTCACTTTTATATTTGTCAGTAAATGAAGGTTCAAATTTGATCAAATTCTCTGACTGACAAAAGAGTAGAAGCTTCGGAGGGACAGGGAGATGGATGGATGTTTGTTTGTCCCAGCTGCTCAGCCTCGGTCACTCTGCCTCTTTAGAATCAGCAGCTGCCTGTGTCCACTGAAGCAGGACCACCCTTTTCATGCATGAGCCCCAACAGCCACATTAACCCTTCACGCTCTGACTAATCTCACTGAACTGATACCTGCTACGGCAAGCTCACACCAGCAGACGTGCCACACTCCAAAAATGAAAAAGCAAAATGAAATACTGACTGCAAAAACATGGACGATGAACAAATTTAAGTGACATTGGCTCTATAGACTACCTGTTGGTATGAAACGCAGGATCCTGTGCAGTTCTGCCCCCGGGGGTCTTTGGCCCAATTGCGGGCACAGGTCATGTCCGTCCTGCATGCCTCAAACCTGAAAAATCAGAAACACTTGTTTTCTTAAACTTGTTTTTATATAGAAACTACTGTTCAATTTGGTCAAGATCATGGTGGACAGAGATTATAGGATGGTAAAAGGGGGATGAATTTTATTACAATTACAAAATGTGTTGTTTTTGTCAATTTTAAAACTGCTATATTTTCCCTCTGGCTAATAATGTATTTTCACACTGAGCTTGTCCAAAATTGTCATGAATTTGATGAGACAATGCATCTGATTATGCAATTGCTGCCACTGAGGGAGAAGGACCGATTTGATGAGCTGCGCAGTGAAATAACAATAAAATCAGCTCATAATCAACTGTCTTTCAGTAGGCTTATTATATATTTGTTTTATTTTGCACTTGTTGCTATCATCATGACATACAAGAGCACAAATTCTAGCCTAACTTTGATTAGCTCCTGTTGGAAGTAGCCTCACCAGTCCCTGCAGAAGCTGTGGCACAGTGGCACGGCCTGGATGTAGGAGGCGCGCTGAGGATGAGGCCAGCGCGCGGCGTCCGGAGAGCAGCGGTAAAAACACGACACGCGCTTCAGGAAGACCTCACACCTGAACATCATCCACATCGACACAGGTATCAGCACAACACATCTCTGTACATGTTAGATTACAATAGGACTGCAGACAAGGAGCTTTGAAGAAAGCTATAGCTTATGCTAGCTAGACCAGCTTGCCTAAAAGTTATTTTCTTTACAAAGTTGTTGTAACTGTTACCAGATTTAAATTAAATATCTAAAATGGGACGCAGAGCAGAGAGATAGACTTACTCGGAGCTCAGTGGTCCACACTTGTCCCAGGGCTCGTTCTTATTGCTGGCTGTGGGGACATGTGAGATGTCCTGGATCTGCTCCTCTGTACAGCAGCTGTCTGTCAGCACAAACACATATGGGTTATGTACTGTCATACATCACGCTGTCATTACACACAATATTCTGTTGGTCACCGGATGTACCCACTGTCTGCGTAGAGAGAGCACTCCTGCAGGTGAGCCTCGGGGCTGGGCGCAGCTTTGTGTTTACCATCCTGAAGACACACCCCCTCGGAATGGGATCCACCAATCAGCGCAGCCGCCAAAATCAAGGTAAGTTTGAGCAGAAAAGCGTCACTCATTTTCACTAAGTTTGCCCTGCAAGATATTCAGCACAAGGGAAAGAAATTTACCTATTAAAAAAACAGAATGTGCTCAGACTCTCCTGCAGTGCTCCTGTACAGTGAAATGATAAGCAGTATAAGCAGTAACCTGGTCGCTCACTGGTCTCTGTGATACTTTAGTACATGATGTTTTGAAATCATAAACTTCTGGGGCAGTAGTTTGTAGAAGCATTCATTATAGATTCCATTCATGACTTGGTGTAGTCCTGCTGGACTGTAGCCTGGGCGCTCTGTGGGTGTGACCACAGGGTGAACCTAATTAGGTGAGACTGTGGCACCTTGCTGAGTGGGGTGACAGGCGAGGTGCTTTAATCTGACAGAAGGCTGTCCGGAGCCCACAGAATTAAAACAGTGTGGGGCGTGAGGCCAGCCTGGCTTCTTTGGTTTCTCTAGTTTGTGAAGCTCAGGTCAGTTTCTTCTGTAGCCCCAATATTCCAGTCAAAGCATCAAACCTGTGTTTTTATTAGCACAAGTGGTGAAGAGCTGAAGGTTCAAAATGTGAGCTCTATGAAACACTTTTTATTATTCATTATTTTAAGGACACACCAAGCCTCAGTATCAAGTATGTCAAAAACTGCTTTTCACATGAAAACATTTTTTCACCAAATTCATCAGCATTGCTGTGTAAGACTCTCATTTATAAACCCATGAATTATGTAAAGTACAATACACATTTTGTCTTATATATTATTCTTGTGGAGCTATTGATTTGTAAATACAACTTCTGACATTGGAGTCAACCTGTCCTGTTTTGTTTTACTTTTTTTTTTTTTTTTTTTCCAAACACACATTAATAAAATGCAATGCTTAGATGATGATAATTAAGTACAGAGTACAATAAATAACCTTAAAATAACCAGTGGTGATTAAATAACATTGAAATTACTCTTACAGTTCCTGTAAATATATGTCACTGTTCTCCTTCTTTGTATCAACACAAATACTTATAAGTAGCTGTGATTACCTGTCGTTTGGAGAGGACGAGGCGGTCTAGTTTCCTTGTTTATCCTCCTTAGTGCTCCGCTGCTGTTGTTTGGCTGTGAATGGTGTGCTCAACTCTGCACTGCTCCCTCTCTCTGCTCTCTCTCTGCTCTCTCTCTGTGTCTGTGCTGTGATCTCCGCTGCCTAGGGGCTTCTCTCCACTTTGTCACAGCATTAAATGAAGGGCATGTCTGTCCTCTCCAGCAGGAGCCTCACCCCTCCCTCCCCTGACCAGGCTGGGAAAACTCTCTCACCCCCAACGCTCCTCTTCTCTCTGTTCTTGTTAATCTCCAAATAAGATGTTGACCAAATCCTCTGTGTTGACAGCCTTCTTTCCATCTTAGCGTGAATGGAAACACTCAAATGAGATTGGAATAAACTGATTTAAAAGTAAAAACAAGCCCAGTAGGGACAGAATGTGTTTGTGTGGTCGTGCATTCACAGGTGCTGCTGAGTCACACCTGTCCTTCTGTAGCTGTGCTGGAGGTCAGAGCACAGGGTCACAGCTCTGGGACAATGGAGATTTAATACTGAGCGATTCGCTGAGGACACAGAACTCAAATCTGTGCTGAACAAAACAGTGCAAACCACAGCACCTTTGTGTCCTGAAACATCAGCTGTCTGCATCCTCTGAACAACAATCTGCACGAGAACCGAGTCTATGTGGGACAGTCACTTTTTTAATGTGGGTTTTGTCAGTTCATTAGTAATTTACTAGTGTTGTACCTTTTTAAAGCTCAATAAATGTGTGGGAAAACTTCATGTCCAAATAGCTCTAAGCCCCTATTCAAACACACATAGTCACTCAAACATTCCTATTTGTCCTGTTAAATCTCTGAATGCTGGTTTGAATATGGATGACTGTACAAGCCTGTTTTCCTACACTGTGCTGCTTCTCTTGCCCTTTAATCTCAGTTCCCCTTGGACCGGGCACACCAGTCTAATCCCTCACTGCATGCCCTAATGAGACTTTTAACCAAACAACAGCAGATGGAGAGAGTCCTGACGCCAATATATCTGCCCAAAACCAGCAAGCAACTGATGATCCTTAGACACAATTGGTTGTAAGGAGGTACAGTTGGGTCATATAGTAGGCTGGTTAGTCATACAGTAAACATTCAGCCTAAGTGTTGAAAAAATTAATGCTGAGCCAGTTAAACCCAGGGGTCATCTGGGCTAGCAATATAAGTTATACAGTTATACAGCCTATGAGGGTGGTGCAGATGGGTCTAGCCTGTTGGTGGAATTCAAAGCACCAACCTGCATTCCTGTTAGTCCAATTAACCAAGACTGAAATTCCATCATGTCTAACAATGTCAATTATATTCTTGGGTCTTTTTAAACGGGGGATGCACATAAAATCCTCTGTAAGTAAAAGTTCATATGTGACAAATAATTATGACTGCATTTAAGACTAGTGAGACAATTTTTACATATTTATATAATGATGTACTGTGTTATTCTTGTTTTGGATTTGAGAATAACAATGAGATTTTACATACATTCAGAACATTAAATTCTGACATTACACTCACAAAGTGATTTACTGTGAGGTCCACTGTATCTTTATTTCCAGTGAAGAATAGATATCTTCATCTCGTAACTAGATGAGCAGTGGTCTTTGCCTTTGTGTTGGAGTTATTCTGGGAACAGAGAAGCAGTGGGACAAAGCAGACTACGAGTGCCCTTCTGTCCGCTTGTTGTTGTTGCCTCATTTAAAAGGATTGGACCAGCGCCATTGTTGGCACCTTAGGCAAGTCTGAACTCGCGACTAGTGGACATTTACATAGACGCATTCTGAGTTTATTTGTGCCGAAAAATCATCCCTGTAGGGAAATTATTCCTTTTCATTTGACCCAGATCTTTTGCTAAGCTTAATCAGATGTCTCTTAACCATAGTGCCCAGAGGAAACCTACCCAGACACAAAGAGAAGCATGCAATTTCCACACAAAAAGAACCAAAACCTTTTTTGTGAGGTGAAAGTGTTAGCCTCTGCCATCAAAATGACATATTTTAACATTCAAAATAAAGCAAGATCAAGTTATGGCATTTGAATCTGGAGGTCCTCAGCCAATTGTCTGTCAGTTAAATTATGTGATTTGGAGATCAAACTCAAAAGTGTGGAATTGTTTATGTTCATGAAATCAATACAAACTGCATTTTCATTTTGATTTGAATATGAGGGAAACCTTACTTTTTTTCTAATATCTCATAGCCTCACTTTTCCGCCAGACATGTCTTATACTGAGGTGAAACAAAAGTATAAAAAACATATAAACTTGGCTCATTCTGCAGTCTGTGTCCTTGACCAAGAGTCAGTTTTGGAGATATTCCCGGCATTGTTTACTGCTTTTATGAGCCTGCCACGGCAACGCTGGGTGATGAATGACTTAATGCACTGAAAACATTTCCATCATTCCACAATATTAAAACGTGGCTAAACACAACCTATCTCATGTCTGTTAAGTAGTTGTCTCACCTCTGGGTTTGCAACATGTCATATTTAATGACCAAGAAAACCACCAGTAGATGTTTTAGAGCAAACAGTTCACACCCACTGACCTTTCACTTGCATAAATGTCACTGGTCAAACTTCATGTTTTCTTTCGAGCTAACTGAGACAAAATATTTCAAATACCTGAGGGCTACAGTGGATCATCACGAAAATGACGAATGCACATGTTTTTATTGTTATTGCTATTTTTTATTCAAGTATAGATTCAGATTATCCTTACATTTACTGATAACGTTATTTCTCTCATTTAAACAAGCGCAGTAATTATTTGCAGAAAGAATTAATTGGACCATAGGTTGCTTCGTTGAAATGTGCAGTAGTTGTTTTTGCTCTCCATCTTGTGGTTATATGGCAGCACTGCATCACCACAGAAGATCAGACTTCATGATGGCCTTCTACGTGTCCATTTATATGACGTAAATGCATTCCATTAGGCACAGAAACACTCAGACTTTTAGAGCACTTAGTATTAGCTTCAGTGACATTTGTATTATATTCACTTCAGCTCCTTGTACCATTACCGACCTTCTGTCACAATTGATTGCTCCTTAATATTGTAATGTTTCTATAGGGGGTTGGTTCTTCTCTCTTGCAGATTTTTCCCTATGTTCACTATCAGTGTAGTGACTGTATATGTGGAGATGATTATGATTGTAATGGCTGCAAAATGCGAGGATGGCCCACGCTTGGCCGCAGTCCTCCAGCCTGGCCTGTGTGTTTGAAGCTCCATGATGGTAACAGGATACTGCAGTCCTCCAGGTCTTCAGGCAATCTCCGCCTGGATATGCCCTGCTCCTTTATGTTCCGTTATCTATCAGCCCAGGCCTGTTTTACATGCATAAATCCTCTGGCTCAGCTGGGTGCCGAAATGCGTCAGCAGCACCTCACAGAGACACAAGGTCACTGACTGTCCAGATGGAGATTCAGACTAGAATGCACCAGTGTCATTAGGGCAGATCAGCCAATCAAAGTCATGTTTTTACATCTGTGTAATTGGAATAGTTCAGTAACAATACATATGGGATGATATAATTGTAGAAACGAAGGGTTGTTTTCAAATGCCACGCTCATCATTTCCTCAGATATATAGATTTACAGAGAATGGGCATCTTATTTGAGGGCAACCAAGGAATCTGCTGTTCTCTGCGTACACACTCAATCCTTTTAGTCACGGTCAGGGGATTTAAATGTTTATTCAAATGTTAATTATTCATAAGTGCTTACCCTTTAATGCTGCAGTGGACTAGAGCTTATTTTATTGTATGTAGTGAGAGGTGGGATTTTCATGGCTAGAACCTCTGATTATTGTGAGGACTTTCTGCATTATATAAGAAAATATATAACAAAAGCAACACTTCTTCTGAAAGGTTGGCGTTCCATATTTGCAACACAAGTGTCACCCTAAATGTCTTAAATTCAGCCCATTGCTCATCTTTGTCTATCGGTTTATCATTTTAATCTTTAACGTCTGAATTTATATAGATGTATATAAATAATGTTTTGTGTGTGTTTTTGACTTTAAGTAAATAGTAAATTAAGTTGAGATTATTCATTTGACTATAGCAAAAAAAAAAAAAAAAAAAGAGAGAGAAATAGATATTTGGGTATGTTGCAGATTTGCGACAACTAGAAACAAAAACAAGTGCTTGCCAAAGGTTCCTGGGAAGGTACTGCACATGCACTAACCGGCACTAGGGGAATGCAAGTGCTGTCTTGGTTTATATCTCGATCTAAACGGTTTGTTGCATATTTGTGACAGTAAGCGCTAAGGGGATAATCTCATTTTTGTGCAATACATGAAGGTCTATCTGACTCATAATACAGTTACAATTATCCAGGGCTTTGCAGCTCATATTGTATGTTTAAACTTTGGTAAAACTCACCCCCTAATCTTCACTTTTTTACCCCTTTGACTTTGGTTTATAGAATTATTAATCAAATACAAATGCATACAACATGTCCCAAATTATCAGAAATAAACCAATAGTCTTTGCTCATATGTCTACTTATTTTTTTCTCATTTAAAGTCTGTTTTGTGGATCTTCTGTATTTCAGCAATTATTCTAGTCACTAACATAACATTTGCACATGAAAGTTTACTTTTTTGGGGGACACTATCTGTGTGGGAGATTTATTACTGAGCTGACAGCCAGATCTAATTCATGTTTGCATTACAAGCAGTGGATAGGTTATGGTGTCCTATCTGCTGCTCAGTGACCAATGGCTGAACAATAAGTAATTTAGCACATAGGGTTGTATTGATGCTGTACATGGGGACTGATGTGCCATGTTTAAGTTAATTACATTTCTGGTGTGGACGTGGTTGTTCAGGGTTCAAAGCACAAAGCCCCAGCTGTGTGCTACTTTCCAAATGTTGTTTACTCTTTCCGTCACTGTAATAGGCTTAGTGCGTATGAGTGTAGGCCTGTCTGAAGGACTTAAAACACCAGTGTTCTTGCCAAAGCTGCTTTGAAGTCTAATCGAGCTGCCATCTCTATTAAACACTAAAATACTCTTCTGCCTTGACTTGAATCAATTTGGGTATGCATTCAAAAGCACTCAGAGAGGTTTGGCCTTTATTCTTGGCTGATACAAAACTGTGGCTATGTGGTCTAGTAATAAAGAATAAAACATAATCTCTGTAATGGATTCTTTTATCTACACTACAGCTGATGGAGCAATTTAAAATTTCTCACATGTTTGGTGTTTTCATGTTGTTTTAAATCTAAACCTTTCATACACATGTGATTATTACTTTTGCCTGGTTTCAGTAGCACCTACTACATACACCAAATGTTAGACTTGTATTTAACACGATTTTGACAGATTGCACAGAAGGATTTTTAATATCTAACTCAAATCCTGATTTATACAAAATGTAATTCCAAAAAATGATGCATGTTTTAGGCCAAATTTCAGTCATATCTAGTTTACTAAAATACAAAGTCCCAGTCCTGTTTGTATTTTTATCTAATATCTGAACAACATAAAGGCCTGGCTTTGTCCGTAAAATGTCTTACTTTATTTAGGAAAACATGACATGATGAAAAATTTGCAATTCATTTTTTTCTTACATTTTAGAGGAAGTTTCATATTGATATTGCTAAATTTGCCATTTTTCCTATTCCTATAGAACTCATGTTATCTCATGTCATGTTTTAATACCTGCTCGAGGTTGTAGTGCGTTTGAGGAGGACCTTGTCGTGGATGGTAGATAAGTATCATACCACAGCTTCAAGGATACTTTAGAAAAGGTAGTAGAAAAGGTAGAAAAGGTGTGAGTTGTGTGCTTTGTAGTGCCCTTCTTCATGATGACAAATATAAGAGAAAATACAAACCTTATATTTGGACATTAGCGTGTTTTTGTTTGTTTGTTCAGTTGTGGGCCTTGGCTCGCCTCTTTTTCCCAATCCTCTTACAGTGCCCCATAGGCACAGCAGAGGAAGGCTTAACCACATCCCACCCAGCTTCGCCTGTGTGCTGCCAGTAGGAGATGTGTCTCATTCACAATAAAGACTGCAGGATTACGCACATTGTCCACTAGTACCATCAGTGACATCAGAGGATGAGAAGTAAGGACAGGAAATAAGATCAATCTGGAAGGGATGAACTATATCAACCACTGATTGTGTTATTGAAGGGGAAAAAAAAGAGAAATGTGGAATGCAGCTCGACATAAGATATCTTTGCCTTTCAGTTACAGTAAAAAGATCAAAGTACAGTGATTTCATTATTAATTTAGATTGATTATCATGTACAACCATGTATAGTTTTAATATAAAAAACTATAATGGATGACAATACCAACACTTACAGTAAAAATCTAAGTTTCACTGTGTGTTTTAAATCACGTTAAATTTAAGAAAACCATATTATGAGCATAGTGAGAATAACTATGGACATCCTTTTCGAATCCAGCCTCGTGGTTATTTGAAGTACTATTATTAACCACAAGGGGTCACTGTGGCATTTCTTATGATTATAATAATAATAATAATAATAATAGTCTTATACCTGCTGAAATGACAAGTAAAGTTATATATTTAGCTGTAGAAAAGTGGCATTTATTTAAACAATCTCCCATAAAGAATAGCATATGTGTAAGGTGTTGATTCTAATAGATTGAAAAACTGATCTTCAAAAATAAACTGAAGCTGAAGAGGAGAATCAAACTTGACTGAAATAAAAGCAAACATTCTTCTGAAAAACAAGTAATTGTGAAACAGCAGAGCCTGAGCTAAGATGTCCTTGTGTCTTCATTCTTTCTTAGACAACATTGCTAAATGTCTGCTTTCACTTCACTAATTACACTATGGCACATAATCTGGACCAGCAACTTTAATTGAATGTGTATGTGTTTTGTACATGCACATTAAGGTATTGCAAATAGAATCATACAAATTACATGGTGCATACATTTAAATTTGTGTGGTTACCTGGTTACGACAATGAGCTCAAACATCTTGCCATATTCTGTTGTTACTGCAGTAGTACTGGGTTGACTTCCACATAAGACTAATTGTCACCAAAGACACATATTGACAACAACAGCTCACTTTACAATAGAATACACTGAGCAAGGGCTTTTTTTAGGAAATGTAATATCAGACTTCCATCCAAATGAACCCTTATTTTAGGCCTGTACCTTTGTCCTGAAGTCAGAGGAGTGAGTTTTCGATGGAGAGTACTTGTCTTCATGGCTTTGTGGGTTTGGAATTTATAGAGCCACAATTTTGCAATGTAACCATAACCTTGTCATCAAAGCAAATAAGCCATCTGACATCACTGAGCCAGTGTTAGTGTTTTGTGTAAGTGGGCCAAACTGTCCTTCAGTGTTGTACTCATCAACAAAAAGGCTCTCTTCAACCCCTGTTCCAAACCCAGATGAGCAGCTGTCCCCTTCTAAACTGGGATTACCCGTTCATTACATAAGGACCCACTCCAGTCTGTGGGCTGAGTTATGACGACATCACCGTGGTCAATAGAGCAGACTTCCACCTGGGCTTCGCATTTTTAGCTCCGTTCGGTTCAGATTGATCGACTTGGCCTTCTTCCACTGCAGAGCCAGGGCCAGGCCTCTGTTGTGAAAATCCATACTGCAGAGTGCAAGTTTTTCAGACAAGAAAGCTAGTGTTGTAGCTGGGTTTTATTGGTGTATTTTGTATCATTCACTTTCTATATCCCACTAGTATGTAGTATGTTATAGCTGCTATTCTGTTTTGTATTGTTGTAGTTGTTATAGCGTTTTTCTCCCTAGAATCCAGAAAACTGCCTTCATCAGCACTACCACAGTCTGAAACTGTCTGCCAGATATGGTCCATCTAATCTAACTCAGACGCTGCTTACCCACTCATTTGTGCGTTTGGACAGCACAGCAGTAAAGTCATTTGACATTCTGCTCTTTATCTCACACACGTTGGTAAATCAAATGCTGCTCGTTTGGTTTAAATAAAGTGTTTTTGAACCACCAGCTGTGTTCCTTCTGGTAAGCGTAGGTCCGGTTTGGAGAGTGGCTGACCTCTTGCTGTTATTGGCACTGATAATAAGGTCCAGCCTGTGTGGGCAGCTCTGACCATATGTTATATAAAAACTGTGTGAATGTCCTAATCCACAACTGGTGTTATGCAAGAACATTAGCAAAGTCCCAAATACTGGTCAGGGACTGCTCTTTACATATGACACATTTAACAGTACAGTTTGTTGTGAAGTGTTCTCTAGACATAATGGGATTAATATTTTGACTCTTGTCATTTCATGTATGAAGTAAATATAGTAAAAATTTAAATTATACTTTTCACTGGTTCACTGCAACCATGAAACTTTCATTCTCATCATTATATCTGTTGGTTATAGCCGAGTTCTTTGTAGAGACAAGACAGATTCACTTTATTGCAGTCTTTTTAAATGGTTAATAATGTTGACACAATCTACTAAACACAGCAAATGATTTCACATATCACAAACTTCCGGCTTGGAGTCTGTGCTTAGTAGCAGTCTTGCAAATACCATTATTTATCAGACATTTGCATAGATGTTTACTGCAGATATGCAAAGAAGGAGAGTGCTGATGAATAATGATGCTTATCAGAAAAGTAAAAGCATTAGGCCTATCTGGTATATTTTTATTCTGGTGGAAGAGAAAGAGGAACTGAAAGCAAAAACAGGAACAACCTGAAACCAAAATACAGCACAAAATGTAAACACAACAAAACTTATTTGAGTGTCATAGGGGCCCAGTCCAGAGTCGAGAGGGGTCCTGTGCTCTGCCTTGTGTCGCTGTCTGTGGTGCTGGACTGGCACTGGTCACGTGTTCCTCGAGCGCTTAGACCCATGGCACGTCCACAGCGTTGCGCTATAGCGGTCCAGGAGCAGCCGCTTATCGCTCCTCTATTGGGTTAGATGGTTTCCTCACGTCCCTCATTCATGTGTGCTGCTTGAGGAGGGGGAGGGGCGGCAGGGATTCCCACGAAGGGAAGGGGTTACAAATATCGCGTTGCTGCCGTCCAGTCTGCAGTTTGGGGGAAGTGAAGATAGATCACAAACAAGAGAGGAACCACGGAAGATGAATGAACGCGACAGTACGTAAGGGACGCTTTGTAAGTTATGTTTTCTGGACCGGACAGACTGAAACACCGCACCGTACCAGCGCTAGTTTCTCATACTATCAGCCCGGACAAGAAACATGAGACGAGGGCACCAGCGAACCACAGCCCCGCTCTGAGCTCCGAACACCCCGTTCTTTGTAGCTGCAGACGCACAAGAGAAACAAGATCGCGTTTCTTTGCATGATGAAGCCATCCTACGCAAGTGTGTGTTTATAAACTCTGATATCGTGCGTTTTATCCACGAATGATGGCAGTTCCGCCCCGTGCGCCCTTCCGACGTGTCACGGGACCTTCTGGAGCACTCTCCCGGTGGCTCTGAATGATCTGGTGAAGCAGACACTTTGTGGAGTAGTGTGCTGTTCGTAAACGGGAGTCCCAGCCATGGATGACTCGGGAATAATAAGACGACGTAGGCTGCAGGTGAGTGGTGGAGCCACACTGCCCGGTCTGCCGTAGTGTTAAACCTTAGCACACATTAGCCAAGAGCTTCAGACTCTTACTTTGTTGCCCTCGTTTTGTAGTGCCCATAGAAACTGCTCTAGTGTAATCCGATCCTTGTACTCGCTGTTATTCCTTGGTAGTAGACACTGAGTGAAGTATGCATGTAGTCTAAATTGTTCATGTACAGTTGTATAGTATTTTAGTAGTAAGTTTATCATGTGGTTGGAGACACAGGGGCATAGGCAGACACACAAGCTACTGTATGCAAATTGAGTAGTGATGGGCACTAGGTACTAGGTACAATACTACAAGGGGATTTTCAAATACACATTTAAATAGGCTTAATCTTTTACAGGGTTTAAAATGTGAATCATTCTATGAACTACAACCCCTTGCAGTTTGTATAGTGGTAAGCCAGCTCTCCTGCTTCATAGCAAGAATGTGAATACATGTGAATGTTTAGTGAGTTGTTCTGAAATGCTAGCCCAGACACACACATCCAAGCTGCTGTTTGACAACCCAGTCCCCTACAGCTAATAGGATGAGCAGAGGAAAATGAATAATTCAAAAACTCCCCTTTGGCTGTTCTGTTTCTTTCTGAGGTCCCCTCAGCAGATGATTGGAATGATTAATATTCTTTTATCCTCAGGTAGGGGCAGTATTCATTTTGACTGGAATTCTTTAGTTCATAAACATATGGAAACAAATAGTGCCAGTTGTCCTTGGAGATTGTTTTTTCCAAGATTTCATGCACCAGAATAATGGAGGAAAAATATGAAATAAACAGATAAGTTTATTATTTTTGTTTTCTTTCATAGCATGCTCCAATCACATTATGTCTGGTTTCAACTGGATAGGCGTCTGATCTATAAAATAAATAAACATCATTTTGCTGTCAGCCATCACCCAACTGCACAGGCTACTCTGGTTAGCACTAGGCTAATGGAACTCTGTAACAACAACCTGCTCTATTTCTTGTCAAGGTGCCTCTTCCACACATCTCATAAAAGCAGCATTTAGCCTCTGCGTATCCCTTTAGTGCTCCTTTTATGGTCATTTGTCTTCACTAGCAACTCCTCAACTATTTAAACCATGCTATGTAACCAGTCATAACTCATGCATACTGACTTGTATAAAACCCTATGTGTAAAAAGTCGTCAACTTAACCACACGTCCCCCACCCCCAGTTTATTTCTCCATCTTGGCGGGTGCATTAGAGAGAACTGAAATGAGATGAGCAGCTGAGTGGAGTGTGACCTCATTCCCTTACTATTCCCTTCTGAAGCATCAAAAATAAATTGTGTAAAAAGATGTAGTTTAGGCTGTGACAGAGAACAGAGGAAGCAGAGGATCATGGGGGATTACTATGGTGATGAGGTGAGCTGTGATGTATGACAGCGGCTTCTGGAGAAGTAATCATCAAAGAGGCACACACACAAAGAACTGACACTCGATCAAAAATCCAAACACAATATGTATGCTATAGTCTTTCTGTGTTTTTGACAGACATTTGTTAGATACACAAACTGGAGAAATGTCTTTGTTTTGCCAATAGCTGTCAATAGTCCATATATATTTGTCAAATTTTAGATAATACCCTGACAAAAAACTGTGTTTTGGCTATTTGTGATGCTAGCACAAGAACATTTTACAATACCATTGTTTCAACAGTAATTGGCTCAGTGGTTAGACCACTCCTCCACTCCAGGATCAGGTTCCTCTTGGCCATTGTGTCCTCTGGCAAGACAATACACCCAACTTACCTAGTATGAATGTAGTGTGTGCGTGAGTGTTTGTAGTCAAGGGGCCAATGGCGCAGCAGCCTTGCTTGCGTCGGTATGCCCCAGGTCAGCTGTGGCTACAAAAAAGCTTACCACCGTGAAGTGAATGATTATTGACTTCTGTGTTATGCTCTGAGGCTTTGATAAGCCTGTACAGCACATTACCACTGACAGACATTATTATTATTATTATTATTAAGATATATTGTCAGAGGATGAAAAGAACTATACAGTAGTATTTAAAATACATCCATTGGCCTACTATTCGTAATTGGAACCTAACTCTGTTTGTACATGAGGTGGGGTAGGCTATACTGTGGATAATCTCCAGTTAATCTCAGAGTTAACAGTTAACAGCTAGCAACCTACACTGACAAACCTTCACTCACCAAGAACCATTCAGAGTCACCAGTTCACCTATTCATGCAATTCATATGTCGACACAGTATGCTAGCTTCATACATAGCACCCTTTTCACTATCTTATATTTATTTTAATCATGGTCAATTCACAGAACAATCATTCAAAATGATTAGATATCCATTGTACAAAATGAGTGGTAGCCAAACTACTTTTAAATATTTTCTTTTTTTTTTAATTTGCCTAAGTGATTTATGTGTTTTAGAATAAACTGTCTGGATAAATATTGAACAACAAACCCGGTTTTATAGTTAGAAGCTGAGCAGTTTATTTACCAGGCAGTTTTCACAGCTTGCATAGCCATTTGTCTTCATCTCCACGTGCCTGTGAACAAAACACCGTGCTGGCCTGTATGATTGGCTCAGAGGGTCCCATGGGTGCCATCAGCCCAACTGGCCCTGCTGAGAGTCGCCCCCAGTGCCATATGGTGACACACCCCTCTCCTTCTAGAAAAAAAGAAAGAAAAAGTCTATATCTTACATAAAATAAAATAATATAAAACTTTTTATAATTTTTTTTATTTTTATTTTTTTTAGCAAAATTGCAATGAATGAAAAACTGTAGTTACACTTCAAGTTACACAACCTGCCTGGGTCCAAATGAATATTTAAGTGTGCATGACAGCACTTTTGAGTGCAGAGGACATTTACACAACACAGAATGTATGTCAGATGAGACAAAATGCCATGTGCACATGCTAATATGTGTAGGTTAATACTGGTGCACAAACAGAGCCACCAATGAAGCTACTTAGTATGACAGATGCAGCTGAAGTGGGAGTGGCTCTGTGCAGTTGGGGCCATAATGTGCTTCCAAAAATGATATAACTAATATTGTTGATGCTTATGTCTGATTAGAGCTATAAAGGGTAGAGATCCATTTGGTAATGGGCTAGTAGTTTGTTTTATTATATCTATAACAATATTCAGATGATACATCAGTGTGCCTCTATGTCTTGGTTGAGGTTCAAGTCTAGCACAAAATGTAAAGAGGCCATAAAATGAATTATAAAATGGTAGATATATCACATACATCACTTTATACCCTTATTGTGGAGATTATAGACAATACACTCGGTATTCTAATTTTGCATATCTCCAAAATAAAACTTGCGATACTATACATTTTTCAATATATTATTCAACACCCACCTCTACAAGTAGATTGTAGAATATGCAACTAACACAAATTCAAAAGACCATAAATTAAACAACTTTAAAATGACTGAATAACCATGCTATCATCATTTATCTTTCAGAAGAAAAATGCAATGATTATATTATTGGCCACCACTGTTCCTGGCCTATCTGTCTATCACATCCCTGTATAAGTATGAATCCAGCAGTGACTATCCCCTGACGCTCTCAGGCTCAGTCAGATTGATGGTTTTGCTTTTGGTCTCCTGGGTTTCCCTTCACAGTTCCACCAGTCTCTTCTCTGTCTAAAAAGAAAGGACCACTAAAAAAGGGCTTTGTGTGCCTCAGATTATGCTATTTGATCACAAGGACGTTTCTTTTTCTTTGAGCAAAGCTTGGACCACTAGGAGGGCAGTGCAGAAAGGAGAGTTTTAATAAGTTGTGGTGACTGGGAGAAGAGCTGCAAGCAAAAATATGCCAAGTATATGCTGGGTGTAAATCAAAGGACAAGATGAAATAATCAGATTAGCATTTAGTTGTAACAGTAGCACTGCACAACTGTATTTAGCTTGACAAGACGTTGCCACTATGTACAAAAGCATTTAACATAAATTTGAGTTGCCATGATGGTTGACTTCTTTGACTAATATTTTTTATTGCCTCCAACATTATAGCAGGGATTGAACAATAATTAGCAGATCTGCACAGCAGTTCTTCGCAGCTCTCAATTTTTATTTTCAATAAGACGACACATGTGGTGTAATTATTAAGACAAAACGTGGTGTAATTATTGAACATAAAAACTGTGAGCTCCAAAGAAAGAACTGTGCAGGTCTACTTTCTTTCTTTTTAAACAGAGCACACAGCAGACTCAACAGTCTTGGATGTGCAGGTCAGCCTGGCATCTGTTAAACTTTTCCTTTGCATTAGTAATGTATTTATCGCACATGGCCTCTCTCTGCCTGGACTAAACTGATGCTGACAGTCATGGGGCTACATGAGGAAACAGTAGCCTGCAGTGTGAACATGCTGCACTCAAGTTGTATGAGCTGCAACTTAACAAGAGATGAGCTGCCTTCAGTGCAAACAGGCTGTGACAGAAGGAGGCAATATGCAATATTAAGTGTTACAACTCTTTCTATCAACCTCCAAAGAGCATGCATACTATGCAGTTGTAATATATTATTGAGCATGGCTGGAAATTTAAAAAATCATCACCAACAAAACCAACTGTGTGTCGTGAGACAAAGACTAGAACTCAAAGACTAGAAAAAGGCAGATGGCTTGGTTGTAAAAATGGAACAGTAATACACTGAACAAAAGCAATGTAACAAATGTTTGGAGAGTAGGAGTTGGAGGTGTTTTTATTGTTGATTTTATGCAATATGAATCTGAAGACAAAAATTGTCTTCACAACAGTAGCAATCTATATCTAATAGTGTAATTATATAATACACTTAAATGCTGTTTTTAAGAGTGCAGAAAACATTAATGTTTGTTTTTTGTTTGATATTTTATTATTACGTTCAAATACAATATACATTTTACATTTGTTTATAAGTGAATGAGAGTCCATTATAGTGTAAATTGATTATATTACACATCTCAAATTCAGTGCTGTCAAAATTTTCATCTGGGAATG